GGGCTTGAACCTATGAACTGTGAAATCATGACCTGAACCGCAGTCAGATGCTTAACTGCCTGAGCCACCCAGGTGCCCCAGCTCCTCTTGGCAGTGCCTTCCATTGGCCAAACCCAGCCCGAAGCAAGGGGGCAGGGGGAGCCTCTGGATACAATCTATGGCAGTTAGCTTCTGGGGCACAGAGTGAGAGGGAGGGGTGGGAATGTGGAATAGCTAGCTCATATGTCCACTGGCACTTCCTGATGAATTTCTAATTTTTTTTTGATGCTTATTTATTTTTGAGAGAGAGAATGAGTGGGGGAGGGGCAGAGAGAGGGGCACAGAATCTGAAGCAGGCTCCAGGCTCGGAGCTGTCAGCACAGAGCCCTACACGGTGCTCAAATCCGTGAGAGATTTGAATCGTGACCTGAGCTGAAGTCAGACGCTCAACTGACTGAGCCACCCAGGCACCCCTGCGTGATGAATTTCTAAATCCAGATTTTTTGGTTGTGAATGTGGTCCTTAGACATTTGGTAAAACAATGGAAGGGGCCACCTGGGTGGCTCAGTGAGTTGAGCATCAGACTCTTGATCTCAGGGTTGCAAGTTCAAGCCCTGGGTTATACTCCATGTTGGGTGTGAAGCCTACTTAAAAAACAAACAAACAAACAATGGGAGTGCACTTAGGGAGAATCACTAAGGTAACAGTTCAATAGAGCAAAAAATATTTGCTTTCACCTGTAGAGTCTCTTGGCCTTGTTCCCACATTTAGTCACCATGGCTTCTTCATAACACAGTTCAGAAATAAACTTCTGCCCTGAAATGAGAACTGTTCTTTGACACAGGATCACTTTAATCCTTTGAAAATATTTTCCAATAATTTGGTGTAAAATATTCTATATTCAGAATCTTATAGATTCTTACTCTTCTGAGGAAGACAAGCCCTATGCTCGTAGACACAAGGGCCACCCACCATACCTTAGTGAGCACCTACTATGTGCCTAGCACTGGGCTAAGTGGTACAGAGGACACAGAGACAAGTCGGATGCTGCCTCTGCTCTGGGGGAATTTGTGAACATCCACTGTTGAAACACAGGCAGCATGTGCTAAATGGCCCAGCAAGGGTGTGACGGAGAAAGGGCTCTTACAGGCCTGTTGGGCAGTACTTTCCTTCAAAGCTGAGCCAGCCCTTCACTGTCTCCAGGAAGGACTGTATTCCCACAACCCAGACACAGCACCAACTATCTAGACCAGAGAGAGGCTTACTCCCTAGCAAACTCCACTGCCGGGTCCCAGAGGATCACCACAGAAGGGCGCAAAAAGCCTCAAAGAGGCCAGAATTGATGACAGAACGCCCAGTGTTAAAGCACATGCATTTGATACACAGAAAACTAGTTCTGACTCTTCCTCCAAGTCTATTAATTGTCGCTTTGGATACCGTTCGAGCAGGCTTAGATAGTAGGCTTCTGGAAGGGTGGTGTGGCACATTAGGTTGGGGAGGGTGAGTTCATGCTTATGATGGACACCATGACAACAACAAAAAAAGCTGACCGAAGTGATTACAAGAAAAATGGCCAATCAGCAGGGAATAGTTCTGAGATCAAAAAGAATAGCAGACCGGAATTATTTCTAGAGCCCCTGTTCTGTAGGTAACCCCTGAGGGCACCATTGACTTATGACACATTAACTGTTTCTCACTATTAGGAACATGAATGGCCCAGTGAAGACTGAATTGTGTGCACTTAATTTTGCTTAAAAAGGCAGATAAGTGTCAGGTATGTTTTAGAATGATTTCTCTTGAACATGGCCTTAAAATTTTAAGCGTCAGGAGCCGTAATTTTGGGATATTGTGTTAACTATCGCCGAGTAATAAAGCATCCTAACACTCAGTGGCTTACATAACAGTCATTTATCACTGAAGTTCACGTGTTTGTGGG